AGTGAAACACAGAACTGAATGAACATAAGTGGATCACTTATTTATTTATTCATTTATCTATCCAGACATCATTGCCTGGGCATTTATGCCACTTCGCATGTGTCCAACAGTGTGAGAGCTGCAGAAGCCATAAAGCTAATTAAGGTGTAGTCTTGCCTTCCAGGATCTCAAACTATAGTGAAATCATAAAAGACACATAAATATTAAGAGGACACTGGGGTTATCTCTGGCTGGGAGAGCAGAGACAAATGTTCACAAAGGAGGAATCTGAACAAAATTGGGGTTTAAGCTTCATTCTGCAGGTTTTACGAAGTTTTTTGAGTGTGGAAGTAACAAAACCTGCTGTCCTTTTTTAGAAAGAGATTTGAGAAAGAAACTGCTCATCTAATAATAGTCTAGTGAACAGATGAAGACCTAGTTGGGGTAGGAGAAACCAAATTTGGAAGATATTTGGTAGGCAGAATCAATAGGACTTGATGATAGATTTGATGAGGTGGTGAGAAGAATTCGTCAAGATGACATAAAGGCCTTTAACCTTGCAGATGGATGGTGATATTAAATACAATCTAGATTATCAGTTAACAAGTATTTATTGAGTACCTCCTATGTACCAGACACTATTCTAGGCATGAAAAGTCTGTTTTCATTTTAGTCAGGGGAGGCAGATGGTAAACAAAAGTGAATATTATCTGACATAATAAATGTGTGATAAATGTGATGGAGAAAATAAAACAGGGGTAGGTTATGGGTTAGATGATAGTGATGGGGGGGCACTTTAGCTGAGGGAATCATGACAAGTAAACCGAATGATAAGGATTTTAAAAAGGGCTACCAAACACAAAGGCTGAGATGGGAAAGAGCTTAACATCATCAAGAAAGAGAAAGGCAGCTGGTTTATAGGAATGGGGCTGGGGGTGGGGAGAAAATGAGACTGAGGACGGCATGGAGCTCCTTGGAGCCCACTGTAAGGGGCTTAGTGTTTGTTTTAGTTACAGTAGGTAGCCAGCAGATTATAAACCAAGGAGACTGTGATGTAACATATTACCATCTGCTATGCAGAAAACGGGCTTAAGGGGGAAGAGAGGCCTGGTAAAAGTGGGAGCTTAGACTGTCCTAACAGCGAGTATGTGGAGGAGCGATCAGATTCCAGATACAGAAGTCACAATGACAGGATTTGCTAATGGACTAAAATGGGTTGTGAGGGAGAGAGAAGAGCCAAGGGTCTCTCAGGGAATTTGGTTCTAAGCCACATGTAGAGCACAGTGATATTAAAGAGATGATTAAAACCTTGGGCAGACAAGAGCTTCAGGGGCCAGGAATCAGTAGTTCTTTGGTCAAGGAAAGACTGGTCTACAAAATTATAAGTGAAATGTTACACAGGCAGCTGGATACAGTCTAGAATGCAGGGGAGAGGTCTAGATAGAGAAATATTTTGAGAACCATTAGCCTCTACACAGAATTTTTATTTATTTTATTTTTAATTATAACGGGTACATAATAGTTGCAAAAATTTATAGGGTAAATGTAGTGTTTTAATACAGACATACAATCTATCATAATCAAATCAGGATAAATGGAGTATCCATCACCTCAGATATTTATCACGTCTTTGTGTTAGGAACATCACTCTTCCACCTTTCAGTTATTTTAAGTGTACCCTAACTTACTGTTAACTACAGTCACTCTATTCTGCCATCAAATATTAAACCTTGTTCATTCTATCTTACCATATTTTTGCAAACATTAACCATCTCCACTTTATTCTCCCCTCCCCACAACCCTTCCTGGCCTCTGGTAACCAACGTTCTACTCTTTGTCTCCGTGAAATCAACTGTTTTAATTTTTAGCTCCCAAATGTAAGTGAAAACATGTAAAATTTGTCTTTCTGTGCTTGGCTTATTTCACTTAACATAATGTTACCCAGTTTCATCCATATCGTTGCACATGACAGCATTTCTCTCTTTTTGTGGCTATTATGTATATTCCATTAGGTATATGTACCAGTTTCTGTAGTGTTTGTTTTAGTTACAGTAGGTAGCCAGCAGATTATAAACCAAGGAGACTGTGATGTAACATATTACCATCTGCTATGCAGAGAACAGGCTTAAGTGTAGGCTATAGGGTACATTTACCCGATAAATTTTATATTATTCCATTCTTCTATGATGGACATGTAGGTTGGTTCCATATCTTGGCAATTGTGAATAGGGCTGCAATAAACATCAGCCAGATATCTTCTGTACATTGAATTTCCCTCCTTTGGATATACTACCAGTTGGATAGCTGGGTCATATGGTAGTTCTACTTTTAGTTTTTTGAGAAACCTCCATACTGTTCTCCATAGTGGCTTCACTAATTTACATTCCCACCAATAGTCCATGAGGGTTCTCCTTTCTCCATATCCTTTCCACCATTCATTATTATCTTTTTGATGAAAACCATTTTCACTGGGGTTAGATGCTATCTCCTTGTAGTTTTGATTTGCATTTCTCAGATGACTAATGATTTTGAGCAGTCTTTGACTTTTAAATCTTTAATCCATTTTGATTTTTTTATATGAGAAGAGATAGGGGTGTAGAAGATTTAAATCCATGAGACTGGATAAGACTCAATCAGGGTAGTGTGTGGGGGTGAGAAGTGTGCAGTAATATTTTTTGGTTTTGGATTTTTTTTTTTTTTTAAACAGAGTCTCACTATGTTGCCCCCACAGCAACCTCAAACTCTTGGGCTTAAGCGATTCTCTTGCCTCAGTCTCTCAAGTAGCTGGGACTACAGCCACCTGCCACAACACCCGGCTACTTTTTTGTTGCAGTTGTCATCGTTTAGCTGGCCCGGGCTGGGTTTGAACCCACCAGCCTTGGTGTATGTGGCCAGTGCTATAACCACTGTGCTATATGAGCTATGCTTTGTTTTTGGATTTTTAAAGGAGAGAACTAGTGAATGCCATATTAGATACTTACTATCAAAGAAAATATTTGCCTTTCTGTGGCAAAACACGTACAGCTTATAAAATATTTCGTTATTATCCTCACACACAGTAGTCTTATTTATAGTATGTCTAATTCTTTTTTGTTACATCAATGAGCTACATAAGTGAACTCTCTGTTGTCCAATGGTCCAGGAGCTAGCAGATAGAAAGTACTTTTGAAATAGCTGTTACAGTGAAAGCATACATGTATACACCCAGCCTTAATAATTAACAATTGATTGTACCGTATTAGTGGAGAGACTAGAAAGTAGCACAATAATGAGCGAGTTTCAAAACACTAGAGATCATAAGATTAAAACTTTCTTTTCTTTAAGAATTAATCTTGGAATTCTTTCTATTGATAAATCAATTTTGAAAAATAATCAAGTTCTACAGACATTTCCAATGAATCATGTAACTGTTATTGTCTGAATGTTTGTGTCACCCCCAAATTCATATGTTGAAACCTAATGCCCAAGCTGATAGTACACATATTAAGAGGTGGGGCCATTGGGAGGTGAAGAGGTCATGAGAGTGGAGCCCTAATTAATGGGATTAGTGCCCTTATAAGGAGTTGTAGAGACCAGAGTTTTCCCCTAACCATGTGAGGACACAGTGGAGAAGGCATCTATGAACCCAAATTGGGCCCTTATCAGACACCAAACATGCCAGTGCCTTCATCTTGGGTTTCCTTGTTTCTAGAACTAAATAAACAAATTTCTGTGCTTTATAAATGACTCAGTTTATGGAATTTAATTATAGCAGCCAGACTAACACACTGACTAAGCAATTAAACTCAAGTACTCATGGTTAATTTCTGAACCATCCTGGTAGTTATTTCCAAATCCCAAATACACCACTCTTTACTTCCTGTTAGAGATGCTACACATGGTCAGCACTCACTAAATGCTCGAATAAATTTAACACGCTGCTTCAATGTACAAGCTGGAGATTCTTCTTTGTCTTTGTATCTGTACTTTCACCACTACATGTCTATTTGGCTCCTTACAGTGCCTTGCATATAGTCAGTGTTTAATAAATATTTGTTGCACACATGAATGAAAGAATGAACACAAAATTTTACAAGAAAGATGATTCTCTTCTTCCTCCTCTTAAACTTCCTATACCATCTTTAAGTCTTTTTCCTTGATTATAAAATATTTGCTAACTATGAAAAATATAAAATTCTTAAAATAAATGTTATTCTCTATTTATAACTCATGATTATGTTAATATATTCATTTAACAAATCTTTTTTGATCATCTAGTCTGTGCCACGTGTCAGGGATATTAATGGTGAATCAAACTGGCCCTTACCTAATTGTAGGTATTAACATCAATACCTTCACTTGCTACAAGTAGAGTATAAGCAGAGGCGTGTTACAATGTGGAAAGTTTTAAAATTCATGGATATCGCTTCTCTGTAGTAGTTAACATTCCTCTTAAGATGATTATTTCAGTGATTATACTGTTAGTGTATTTCTACATATACTAATATTATATGCATTATTTATATTAAATTAAATACTTATTATGTAAAGTATTCTAACTATATTTTAAGTACCCTCAAAGAATAGTTTTCTCACATGAAAAAGAACACCACAAATACCCTAGTCTTTCTTCAGAATATTTTTAAGACATGTACTTGAATATTAGAAATAGTAAGGCAATATAGCTCTGAATGGGTTATTGTCAAAACTTTCTCTATAGGTTTATAGGGTTATATACTGTCTATTTACTCAAATGTATTAGGAAAAAATCCCTTAACTAAAATAGTTAAAATATTTTAACTGAAGGGTTCAAATCTACTTTTATTAAGAGAAAGTTTCCATTTCCAGCACCAGGAAACACATAGTCTTAGGGAAGCGACTTCCTGTACCACTGTCCACTAACTTTCAGCAGATCACCATTTCTTCATATCTACGCACCTGTCTGTATAAGGAGAACAGAAGTTATTTATCCTCAGAGAATACGTAATCATATGCCTTGTTCAGTTTCACTCCCAAAGGACTCTTAATGGTGCTTTACTTACCTCCAGTGGTTGGTTGCCTTCTACTTCTGAAGGTTTACCTCTTACTGACATTCTTTTCTCATTTGCTGTATCTCCTATGAGACAAAAACCCCGCCCCAAACCAGAAAAACATTACCAAAATATTGAGGCCAAACTGTCTTCCATTTTTTTTTGGAATATCTTTTGTTATTATATCTTTCACATCATAAAAGCAGTAACTATTTCCTTTGTTACAAAGTAAATAAGTTAATTTTTAAGAACAGTAATTTGATATAGGTCACACAAGTCATCCATAAATACATATACATATAACCTAAACCAGAAATGTATCCTGTTTTATATAGATTTACTCTGGAAAAATCAAGTTAGTTCATGTTTTGTAAATAAAGTCATATTCTAAATTAACTAGGAAAACCTATAATTTAATACTAGGCAAATTACCTGAAATAAAAACTCTTTGTGATATGAATAACTATTTTCCAAATTAGTTTTTCATTAGGTTAACTATTTATAAGTTTATTTGTATCTTTGGATTTGAACAGATATAGGTGTTTAATGTAGATGTAGATGTTTACATGTAATAATTAACCAAATGCAATACAATCATTACAGCAAGAAAGAACAATGAATAAATGAATTAGCCTTCAGTTAACACTTTGCTTCCTAAATCTAGTGCTTAGGTAGGCTAAATGAAGTTCATGACTAGGCTGGCTCAAAGGACATAGGGCAGACACAAATATAGTTGAGTAAGTACTATTTTAATTTATTAATTATCACTAATGGACTATGATTAACAATGATGAGTAGAGACTACCAGTTAGCCTACTTCTCTGAAACATAATCACATGTTAATTTAGCAAGTTGTAAATTGCTCTTCCCATAAAAGTAAGCCATTTTATTATAGGAATGTCTATGGTAGATTACCAAATTCTTGGCTAACAATAAAGGTTAGGAATTTGTTAATATAAGGAAGATCATGAGTCTTGAATAGATACAGTATGAAAATCTTGGCTGATATTCTTCTTAGTAAAGTATCTTAAAAATGGGGGGGAAGGTATCCAATGTACTTGATACTAATATGAAACCCACTTATAAACAATTACATGAAAGGCAAAACACAAATATAGTCTAGCAAGGGGGAGGACAGAGGAGAAAGGGGGTTAAAGGGAGGGTAATTGGCAGGAGGAGGGAGGGTAATTGGCTGGCCCTAAAGTGCACAATGTGAGGGTGTTCAGGACACCCCCTGGGTGAAGGGCTCAACTCCAACTTGAATTTTACCTTAGAATTGAGAATAAGGTAACCTAAACAATTTATACCTTCATATTAATTTGAAATAATGAAAAAAAAATCTTGGCTGACCTTAACTTTTCCATGTGAAACACAAAAGTTAAGTTTACCAAAGTGCATAATAAAGAAAGAGGCTCATGAACATTTTAAAAGATTAAATACTATCTGTTCAACTCTAAAATCAAGAAGCAAGAACTAAATTGGTAGTTTACTTAAGATAAATTAACACCCCCAAATGTTTACAACCCAAGAATTTCAATGCACATTCCAGTATCAGCTTTGTCCTCAGTTTTGTGCATTATTATTGTTGGGCAGGGCCCATCACACAAAAGGTGTTCAGTGAACATTAGCTGAATAAATCAGAAGACTTCTCTTTGTAGTTTCCTATCTATAAAACTGTCACAAAACAAGACTTCATGGTATATAATAAGAATTATATTGGAACATGCAGCAGTGCCTTTCTTCTAAAACATATTTGAAGAAGTTATAAGGTAAATTTAGTTGGGCAGAAGCATGAGCCCAACTCATGAGTCTCAGCTACTTGAGAGGTTTAGGAGGTTCAGGCTAAAGCAAGCAATGATGGTGCCTATGCACTCTAGCCTGGGTGATAGAGCAAGATTCCATCTCAGCCAATCAATCAAGTTATTTTATAAAGACAAATTTATTAAATACCACTTTGATTTTAAAAATCATATTGAAACAAAAGCAGTGAAACTTTTGGGTTATGTCTATAGGATAATAAATTTCATCACTGGTTAATAAAAAATTAAATCCATCTAATCTTGTAACCTAGGATTTCCAACAACTATTTTGATTGAGATTATTTATACTGGCCATTTATTGGCACAGCAAGAAGAGCATTGTTACCAAAACCCCCCTCCTTTCTGAAATTTAGGGATAAGAGAACCCCACAGTTACAAGTGGAGAAACCAACGCACAAGGTGTTTAGTTTACAAGGAGCACAGTGAAGAGTCATGAGACCAACACAACACGACAAGCCAAAGCATACAAATCCCTGTACAATGAGGTCGAGACTGTGTCTGACAATACACACGCATGATGTTCATAAGAAAATATGTACAGCCCACCACTATAAAAGGTCTTTACTCTAAGAAACATTATTTATGTTTTAAAATGATTACAGTTCCATCCCCAACCACACAAACACTGGGTTTGGCTAAAATTATCCAGCAACGTCTGCACTTTCTTTGCCATTTTCTGATTTCATGGTGTGTATCTATGCAATACTGTCTCCATTTCTCCTGACTGCTTAAAATACTAGAAAGGTTATCAGCCTGTATTTTTGACTTCACACAACATATCTGCCTGGAAGCAACTGTAAAAATCACTATTTACTGAAATGTCATGTCTGGTGATGACTCAGATAAGACAATAACTGATTACAAGGAAAACTGCCATCTGCCAAGATTATTTCTCTCTAAACAAAGGCACAAAATGAAAGCTAAAAAGCAACAAACAGAAAAGAACAAGTCACAATGGAATATAATTTTTAAGTTTTCTTTTCTCCTATTGAAGAATTGTTTGACCATGGTAAAAATTCAGTTATTTTCTGTATTTTCTATAATCCATATATAATAGTAAACAAAAACAGATGTGAGAAATCTGAAATAAAGTACTTTCAGTTTTGAGTATCAGTTAATTTAACTTATATCTTGAATAGATTAAAAAAAATCCATTTGCAAGTCAACCATTCAAAAAGAAGAACAAAAGAAACAACCTTGCATGTTCACAAAACGTACCTTTAATAAAGATGTTTTTAAAACATCACATTTGATTATTGTTGGGCAAGCACAGTAGGAACATTCCCCCCACCCCACATCCCAGTTTACAGGTGAGTGAACCTTGAGGGGCAGAGGCACCCAGTGACCTGCTCAGGGTCTCCCAGGTAGCAGCAATCATGTGGACACAGACATCTCTGTGGACTCTGTGGTCAGCTGGAAGGTTCCAGTGGATGAGGGCTGAGGTGGGGGGGGAATCAAAAGTTAAGAAACAGGACGTGAAGAGAAGAGCTAAGGCTTACAAAGGAAGTTCTGATGGTAGCATCTTGTGCTGGTCCAAGTCCTGGGCTCCCTACATACTTCTTTCCATTTTTTTGCTTCCGCAGGCCCCACAGATTATCCATTTTCTTCCCTCCCTAATGGTGACACCAAATACTTCTGACTAGACCAAGCCTCTATCCTTCCTTCTAACACTTTAAGCAAATACATAGTTCCTTTGATATTTTTCCAGAAGTTTGTAAAGCTAGAAATAATTTTATAAAAGGCAAAAACTTCTCTTATACCACCACAATCATGTAATTTTGTTTAAAATGTAGTTTTTATTTAGAGTGAATAAATGATAAAGGCTACATACATATACACTAATGAAACTCAGAACTTAAAAGCCTACAGTGAAATTCATTTATGTTTGAGATTAGGGGTTGGCAAATTTTTTTCTGTAAAGGGCCAGATAGTAAACATTTCAGGCTTTGCAGGCCATATGGTCTCTGTCACAGCTTCACAACTCTACCATTGTATCCACAAGCAGCCACAGAAAATATGTAAACTAATGAGTGTGGCTGTGTTCCAATAAAATTTTATTTACGAAAACAGGTGGCAGGCTGTAGTTTCCCAATCTCTGTTTTAGAAGAATGCATGTATTCCACCTTTCTAGGATAAATAATTCAATGTTTTAGCAACATAAGGAGATGAGAAAGAGATGGTCATTAGAGTATCATCATGACCCCATTCTACTGGGTGAAGATGGGTTGAAGGAGAGGAGAAATGGCGGTAAAGAGTGGGCACTAGGTACAGGGGAAGCAGGCAAAGCAGGAAACCCCCGGGGGTGGGAGAGGAACCAAATGCCTACTTGGCTCACCCAGGGGAAGCTTATCTGGAGGGACTGGTGGTGGGAGAGTGAAGGCACAGACACTTTCTGCCCACTCCTTAAGCTTTCTCATGTGCACAGGGTTCTATTACCATTCACTCCACGCCCCTGTTCATGGGTTGGTGAGTTTGGGAGGACCTGGGGGCACCTGATTCTGCCCCTCCTCCTTCCGCTTCTCTTGAAAGTGGAAAACCACCAGGGCCTGATGCTGCCTGCTCTGATCCTCTGCACAGACCTCCTCCAACCCAGGGACATTGCCATTCCAGCATATCCTGTAACTGAATGGACCTCAATCTAATTCTGGGATTCAGATTAGGAAACCTGTTTGCTCCTTGTTACAAGCCACATTCTTTAACAACAGCTTTATAGGCAATAAAGATGAGAATTTGGTCTCCATCTGTTCCTCTCCCCACCCCTCAGTTGGCCAGATCTCATCTGGGGAAGAGGGCTGTTATTATTGGCACACCCTGGAGCCCAACAGGACTGGAGATGGGCTGGTATGGACAGGGGTGGAGCCTGCCTGCACACAAAAAGCAGTGAATACAAAAAACCCTGCTTTTTCTCTTCTTTAATTAAAGAGGATTTATCTAGGTCTCCATAACCGAGAATATAATCTATAAAACACTAGTTAACCAGGTTCACATGGAAGAAATATTTCCATGGTCAAAAGTATTGGAAAAACCTGCAAAGTTCTTCCAGTTGTTTTTTAGGCCACTTTAGCATCTGAGAAATTCTGCAGTAATGAAAGTTTCAAAAAAAATTTTTTTCACTATGTATTTGACTATGGAGCCATTGTATTCACGTGACAGCTATTAAAAATCTTCCAGAGATCCATTAACATGCTATGGGAAATGCTGATATAACATTTCTTAAGTAAAAATTGATTATAAAATATATTATTTTTACCTGGCTGGACACATTT